AGAAACGAGGTCGAGTGAAAAAAAGGGCTTGTCCTTTTTCTCCCGGCGATCCACTCGTTCTCTCTCTCTCTATATATATATATATATATATATATATATATACCTAACAACGCTTCATAATTCATTAAAATCGTTGTGGTAGCTCCTACTGCGTTATTCCGCGACCCTCCGGTCGGTAACATCTTCAGAACAGCCACCCAGTTGTTGTTAGTAGGCCACTGGCCTACTTACTAAAGGAACGGGGTTGAAAAGACAAGAAGAATTAACTGCAGCACACCCCTCTGCTTGTCGGTTTTTTTCTAAGGGCCTTTGCTGTTGCTACTGATCTTGCTGTTGCTGTTGGTATTGCTGTTGCCGTTACCGTTCCTATTAATGGTGTCGCTCTTGTTACTGCTACTGCTGCTGCTGCTGCTGCTGCTGCTGTTGTCGCTTCTTGAAACGTACGAGTTTCATGCTATGAGGGAGTAAATAATGAACGAAGGGATGATACGTTTCTGAGGAACCGAGGGTAACTTTAGTAGGTCAATACCTTGCTCGCGAGCCTCTTCTTCTTCTCCTTCATCTTCTTTTAACTTTGAAACATTCCAGAGAACAGAGAAAGATAGAAAGGGAACAAGACTTTTCATTTATTCGAATATACTTCTTTTCTTTTCCATTTTGTTTTTACAATCAAATCTGTTCAATTTCATTGAAACATTAGAAAAAAAAAAAGAAAAAAGAAAAAAAGTAACGAAAGTACAATACTATTGGATTTCTATATACATCGAATGCTATTTAATTTCATGATTACATTGAATGATTACATTGCAAGATAATATCTGATTATATTGTATGTGCGGTACACAAAACAAAAGAAAACAAAAGAAAAAGAAAAACAAACAAAAAAAGAAGTAAAAGAAGAAGAAAAAGAAAGAAAGAATTACACGAAGAAGAAATTAAAAGAAGAAGTAAAAATATTCGATATAAAAAGATAAGAATAAAAAAAAGGGAAAAAAAGATAGATCAAAGACGATGAATAAAAAGAGAAAAGGATTGACGATGTTCTATGACATGAGTTCTCTGATTAAAAAAGATTTTTGATTCAAAAAGAAGAAAATTTCTATATCAATCGTAATATCCTTTTATCATTAGAAAAAGTATCAACTGGAGCATATATACATCAACCCGTAGATACATACATATATATATATATATATATATATCAGGGGGACCGGAAAGTAATGTCGCTTTCTTAAATTAAATTCAAACGAATAAATTTTTAACAAGTTTTTATTTTTAATCATAATCAAATATCGATATGCGCAGAAACGACATTACTTTCCGGTCCACCTAATAGATAAATAAATCTATCTTCCTGGGCGAGAATCCAAGGAGACGAAATATTTATTTAAAACTATATATATATATATATACACGTATATACAATGAATCGAGAAGAATTACTGTAACGTTGGATACGAAGATAGGATGAGGATTGTCGTTCGTTCTCGATGATTTCCTTCGATCGGACGTTACGTCGCTGGTTTTACGACTACGCGGCGCATTCTAGAGAAAGAGAGATATAAGAGAGATGAGGTAACGGAGGTGATGGGTGGAGAGAGTTGAAAAGAGAAAAGAGTGAAAAAGAGAAAGAGAGAGAGAGAGAGAGAGAGAGAGAGAGAGAGAACGGCTTTACGCGTGGAATATGCTAAACCAAGATCCGCGGAAACTCAGACCACGTTTCCTCTCCATGCAAATGGCTGGAAGGTCTAATGACGATCCCATGCCGTGGGCGCAAATCGACGGGACCAATTTTTCCTTCATTCTTATTCTCCTTTCTCTCTCCTCTCTCTCTCTCTTTCTCTCTCTCTCTCTCTCTCTTTTTATCACGCGAGACCATTGCACCCTCCTTTCTATACCACCCTTCTCATCCTCCATCTCTCTCTCTCTCTTTTACTCTCTCGGTAATGGTACATATCGGTGCAGGCATTCGAATGCAAAGCGAGTCGTATCACTTTGCAAAAAAGAGAATGAAAAAGAGAGAGAGAGAGAGAGAGAGAGAGAGAGAGAGAGAGAGAAAGATTTTCTCTCAGTTCTTTCATCTGAGAACGAATAGTGTATTTTACTCGTCGTGAAGTCAAGTGCGAAAGAGACAACAACAACGGAGACAAGAAAGGGAATTCCTAGGACACAAGGGTTCAACGAGGCGTCGTCGATCTTTCCTGTATCGATAAACTTCTTCGTCTTCTTCTTCTTCTTCTTCTTCTTCTTTTTCTTTTCTTCCCCTTCTTTATTTTTTTTCAACCCCCACCCCCCCACCTTCACCTACATTTTTTCTTTTCTTTTTATCTTTTCGTCTCTCTCTATCTCTCTTCGTCTCTCTTCCGAAAGATCGTCGATCGAAGTCTTGTTTAGGGAATCCTTGGTTTACCTGTGAAATTAAATAAGGCTCAAAGAGTGACAGAGGATAAAAGTATCGTGTAACTTTCCACCCGGAAGAGATCATAGTGAATTGGTAGAAGGGTGTCCGATATAAAGAGGGTCCGACTAAAGTGTTGCGATTTCGTGACAATACTCGATATACCTACATTGTTTTCTTATCTCCTGATGGTCTAGGAATGCGTGACAAAAAAAAAAGGAAAAAAAGAAAAACAAAAAAAAAGAGGAAAAGGAAAGGTAGAAAAAACAGAGGACGTCAGAAAGATATATATATAGATAGATAGATAGATAGATAGAGAAAGACAGAGAGAGAGATAGGGAATAATAGAAAGAGGAGGGAGAAATAGGCCAGAAAAGAATTAACGACACGAAATACTTTTTCCTTTTCCTCGAGCAAATAAATGTCTTGATTCATTTAATGTTAGCCCCGTTCATTTATTTAGTCCGATATTGAGGGGAAATTGGGTCAAATGGGGAGATTATGTTCGTTCACTCGGCGACACCAACGTATGTCTCGAACGCACGAATCACGATCGAGTAGACGACAAATAACAGCGAAAAGGGAGGTGTGGGAAGTGAACGCGAAAAAAAAAACGAAAGAAAAAAGAACGAAAGAAAGAAAGAAAGGAAGGAAGGAAGGAAGGAAGGAAAGAAAGAAAAAAGGTTCGTCGTGTTTTCGTTGGAGAAGTGGTGAAGAAACGTAAGGAAGACTTAAGGAGAGGACTACACATAGTCTCTATCACGGAGGGTGTGGGAGGTGAGTGATGATGATGTGGTGGTAGCGGGAAGTGAGTAGTAGTGATGGGTAGGAGGAGTAGCTAAACTATAAGGACGTAATCTTACACCTCTCTCTCTCTCTCTCTCTCTTTCTCTGTTGGAGGCTTTGCTCTCTTGCGAGAGGTCACGTTCTCTTATTTTCGCCTGTTTGCCCTCTCTTTATTACGTGTAACGAAGAACCAAGCACAGAGTTGCTTGGAAACCCGACACATCCGATCCGTCGCGCGTGCGACGTTCCTTCTTTTCGGAGGAGAAGGAGGAGGAGGAGGAGGAGGAGGAGGAGGAGGAGGAGTAAGAGTAGGTAGAGAATGGATGGAGAAAAAAGAAAAGGAGGAAAAAAGAGGAAAAAGCCGAAAAGAAATGGATCCTCTTTGATGAGAGTAGATACAAGTTCGGGAGATTCTGTAGGGCTCTCGTACTCCGTCTTCTTTCTCCTCCTTCTCTTACTCCTTCTTTCACCTCCTCTTCCTCCTCCTCCTCCTCCTCCTCCTCCTCCTCCTCTTTCTCCTCTTCCTTTCTATTCCTCTTACTCGCGTCGAGAAGGGACCAAGAGCGTCCTTCGCTGTTGGGGGAACCTCTCGAATAATCTCACGTCGGCAAAAACGATCGCTCGCACTGTTCCGTCTTGCTTTGACTGCAAATACGATCGACGTTGTTGAGGAACTACCACCTCCTTCTCTTTCCTCCTTCTCTCCTCTCCTCTCTCTCTATCTCTCTCTCTCTCTCTCTCTCTCTCTCTCTACATACACGCATAGTGAAAAAGATAAAGATAAAGAAAGTCTTTTATGTACACGATGCACGTGTGTTATCCAATTTTTATTCTGAAACACTTTTGTTTACTTTACGTTTATATATTTACATATAGAGAAAGTTTATTATAGTATATATATATATATATATATATATATATATATGCATGTAATGTGTGTGTATGTATCTGTATATGACATATACTTATGCATATTAAATATTATACGAATATAGGAGAGAAGAATTTTGTACAAACATGAAACAGACATCTCTGTTTTGGCGAGACATCCAAATTGAAAATACATTGTGTGGTAGTCGTAATTGGAGGATAAATCGAAGGGGTGTGGGGGGTATAGGGGAGAAGAGAATGGAATAGGGGACGTTGAGTTGACCATGGCAAAACGATACACGCGTCATCCCTTTGAATACATATACATATACACACAGACACACACACACACACACACATATATATATATACTGCTTTTAATATTTATCGACTAATAAATATAATAATCCATTGGTGTAGCTGAAACGCTAGGCGTTTACGTGCTTTGTTAAACTCAGGAAGCTCCGAAACGTAAACTTGAAACCAAATCCAAACTAACCGAAACATCTACATGGATATATACCACATCTCCTTTCTCTCTCTCTCTCTCTCTCTCTCTCTCTCTCTCTCTCTCTCCTCTTCGATCCTCTAACTGTTATATTCCATGCTCCGTGATTCGTGGGATTTTGTTCGCACGTATTCCATTTGCGTGTTGGTATCTCGTTTATCGCTCGATCCCAACGTGGATGTATTTGTATTATTGTTCTCCTACACGTACCTTACATATATATGGCTTTATTGGATATATACCGTAGAATATATATGTATGAAGAATATATGTGTGTGTGTGTGTGTGTATGATAGGTGTATATACTACTCTTTTTAATTATCCTTCTCTCCTTCGAAATTCTTTCATTTATATAAACGAAAGAAAATATCTTCGATTCGTGAAATCTGACGGATTTTATACACCAACACACTTAACGAATATCTACTTATGTTTCAGGGTATCATTCCTCCTTGCACGAAGTTAGTACGAAGAGATGACCCAACGTAGTAAAGACTTTCGTCGAAGTAAACGGATAGTAGTGGACTGCATCGGGCTTCCACGTGTGCATTGGAAGAAGTTGTATCGTGGATTCATCGAAGAGAAAGAGAAAAAGGTAGGGAGAATCGTATTACAGAACCATCCTCATAGTCTCTACACGTGCGTGTTTCGTACTACACGCAAACACACAAACACGCACATATACACACACACACACATATGTATTCAGAAATTTATATACTCATACGAGTATATTCATACGAGTATCGTCGCGGCAGGATTCTCTCTATATGTGGATGATAATACACCAATGCCGACGTTGGTTTGGATGTGTCACGGAATCGTAAACCGGTAGATATTAAACTTTTACAATCCCAGCTCGTTGGCTGGGTGGTCGGACAAGAGGTTATGATGATTAGATGTAACTCGATAATACGCATGGTGTGTGGTGTGTTGATATGGTGGTGGTAGTGATGATGGTGGTAGTGGCCAGAATGACGCCATTGGTTCTTCCTAGCAACGTTTCTGCCTTTGCAGAATATCGTGCCGCTTTTGATGCCTTTGGTATGTTGTGTTGGCAAAAGTAGTCATAGGAGTGGATTGGGATGTGACGGGTGTGAGTGTGGAATTGGAAGTCTTCGTCGTCCTCGCCGTCGTCATCGTCGTTGTCGTCGTCGTCGTCGTCGTCGTCGTCGTCGTCGTCGTCGTCGTCGTCGTCGTCGTTAAAAGCGCCGTTAAATCGACGAAACCTAAAAATCGTAAAACTTCATCCTCTGCCACCCCTTATCCTGATATGTACCTTCCTAAAATCGTTCGATAACGCTTCCTCCTTTCGTTCAATCTTTTTAATATATATAACAAGTCGAAAATGATATATCCTATATACATAGAAATAACACTAATTCTTCATTATTCGGAATCGTTTTAATTAAGTAAATAATCACACGTGTATTTACATATGTTTAATGAATATCAATGTTTAATTGATGGTTAAATATTGATTTTATTTTCGATAATTATTCGTTCTGATTATACGTCAACACGATTGAAAATTTTCACCAAAATAGAAAGTTGCGTAAGATAACTTATCGGTTATTAGTATCGAATGTTACAGCAAGATTATAAAACTCGATTTAAAAAAAGAAAAAAAAAAAAAAAGAAATAGAATTTTTTTTAAATTTTAGTTACAGGCTGAAATATAGATTTTGAAGTAATATTAAGAGAAGGAACGTGGAACCGATTGTCGAAACATACGCCGTCGATTTGATATCCAAATCTCTCTCTCTCTCTCTCGTATTTTTATGCCCGACATAAACGTAACGGCGAGTCATAACGTCCGTCACGAGCAAATGGCATTGCATACGCGAGTCTCGTACGTGGCACCCTTCGCATAATAATTCTCCGTATTGTCAAAAGCGAAATACGCTTCGACCACGCATTCGCCGTTATTAACGTTTATACGTTAGCGTAAGATAACGTTTCTCGTGTTTTCGGATACGAAGCAGACAGCAGACAGACGGACAGACAGAGAGAGAGAATGAGAGAAAGAGAGAGAGAGAGAGAGAGAAGGAAAGCTTGTTGTAACGATTCTATCAATGAAATTTGCCAGCAAGAAGGACGCGCTTACAATCCGTAGTTATTGGACGTAATTCGTGATTGGCATTGGTCGTTTCATTCTCTGAACGGAGCTTAGTGCTAATAAATTCGACATATCGAGACTGTTCGAATAAGCGAAGTTTACCACCAACAGCAACACCAGCAATATCAGTAGTAGTAGCAGCAATAGCCGTAGTAACAGTAGCAGAGGTTAGCAATAGCCAATAGTAGCAGCAGTAGCAGCAGCAGCAGCAGTCGCGCGCGCAGTAGCAATAGAAGCAGAGCATCCTTATACACAACAACCCCTCATCAGGAAAAGCTACTAGTAGTAGAGCTCAGAGGAGACATAAAGCGGTTTTGCTTCGTCGATTTTATGAATATGCTTTCTCGAAACAGCGGTCGAAGTATCGACGCCGCCAAGGCAGCAGGCACACCACCCTCTCTTTGCTTTTGAGGAAAAAGAAGTCGCGAGGTTCACTGGTAAAAGAGAAGTACTAGAAGAGGAAAGAGTACGGGAGAAAGATGAACAGAGAAAGAAAGACGGAAAAAGAGAGAAAAAGAGAGAGAGTGCTGTCGGCGGTTGTTGAAAGGCGAACGAACGATATAGGTGGACGATAATTCATCGACTTTCGCGAGAAACAAGGGAAACCTTTTTCCTGATATTCGACGATTCTTCGATGGCCTTAGAAGCGCAAAGTCACTCTCCCCCACCCCCTTCTTTTTTTCCTTTCTTTCTTCTTTTTCTTCTTTCACTGTCTCTCTCTCTCTCTCTCTCTCTCTCTCTCTTTCTCTCTCTCTCTCTCTCTCTCTCTTCGCAAATCGAATTGAATTGAATCGAATCGAATCGTATCGTACTTATACATATTCCTCAATAATCTCACAGCATTCCGCTTCTCCTTTCTCCGAATCTACGGGCTTTATCGGTGATTTAATGCAAATATAGAAGGGGCCTGAGAAGAAATTGACTTACACCAGAAAGAGAGAGAGAGAGAGAGAGAGAGAGAGAGAGAGAGAGAGAATGAGTGAGAGAGAGGAGTCCCAGGGAATTCATTTAGTTCGGCCACGAGCATAATCGAGTTTACCGAGACGACGAAGGCCTGGCCTCCCTTCCTCCTTCCTCTTCTCTTCTCTTTCGGCAAAGTGTTCCTCTCCATTTCGTGAACCGTGACGGGAGCGAAAGAGAAAGCGAGAGGATGCCGAAAATACCTATCGGTATACTTCAAAGGAAGAGGAAAGCCGAAAGCCGACAACGTTGTCGTCGTATTCGTCTTCTCCAAAGCGCGTCACCAGCGGCTTCTTTATCACTATACTATAGTCTCCTTGTCCTTGTTCCAAACGAATATTTCCTCGAAGAAAATTCTCTATCTCTTTCTCTTTCTTTTACTCTTTCTCCCTTTCTCTTTCTCCGTAGCTCGTGATAGCCTGACAAACTCGTGTTTTATCGCATTATTTATTGCCGCATGCGTGTGAGAGGGAGGGTTGTTGGTTTCAGTCAAGTTAGTAGAAGATAGAGAGAGAAAGACAGAGAGAGAGAGAGAGAGAGAGAGGATCATTGCTACTACATACGATTCACCAACGACCCCCTGGCGTTACTTTGCCCACCGAGAATCGCACACATACCTAGATGGATGAGAATCCACGTTATTGATGGATTCCTCCCTTATGAAATATCTCGGAGCTCGGTACGAATTTATTGCGAGCAGTTCGACCTGCTTTATCTCGTATTGTTCATGATAAAGCCGCAGTGATATCCCCGAGATCTTCCGGACATCTAAAAAGCCCCCGATGAGCCGTTATACGACTCTTCTTTTTTTCTTTCTTTTTTCTTTTTCTTCTTTTTTTTTTTTTTTTTTTCCTTCTATGTCTCTCCTCTCCTTTTCTATCTCTCTATTTCTGTCTTTTTCTTTATAAACGTTTCTACGATATATACTTTTATATATAAGTGCCAATGTGTGTGTTTGTGTATGTGTGTGTGTGTGTATGTTATGCATCTGTCCCTATATTTCTATTTCTTTTTTTTTTTAAACGAGTACACGTATTAGTAACGAATAAAAAAATAATTCTTTCTTTTGCATCAATACTTACTTCATTTCAAGCGATATAGAAAGAGAAAGAGAAATGAAAAGAATAAAAGAGATAGAGAGAGAGAGAGAGAGAGAAAGAGAGAGGTAAATATTTATATTTATGACTGAGCTTTCGAGCGAACTCGATGTCACCTATTCGTTGATACGCAATGAACCCTGCGTTCCTCTCTCTCTCTCTCTCTCTCTCTCTCTCTCTCTTTTTTCTTTTTCGGTGAGGCAAAAAAAAAAATCGCATCCACTCGTTTTTTCCGTCGACCGCACTGGAACTATTATCCCATAATTTTTTAACGGCCTTACTCGCTCGCGTTCCCGTCCGTTACTTTACGATTCGAACTTTTATTACACTCGCATGTCGCGCTTTTCGGCGCACTTTTCAGCAAATACGTTTTATGACCTAGCGTTTTCGAACGAGACAGAAAAGAGAGACGTACAAGAGCAGCAGGACCAACGTTCATTTGTATATAGGCAAAGTGGAAATCAATTTTTTTTTCTCTCTTCTTTTTTCTTTCTTTCTCCTTTTTTTTTTTTATTTCTTTTTTTTATTTTTTTAATTTTTTAATTTTTTTATAACTTACGTAGATACACGCGCTCGATCAATGAGAATCTCGTAAAGCAAATGCAGCGAAGTTAATTATTTTTCTCTTAGGGAGAAAAGAAAATCATCGTGTGCGTTAGAGAGAAATTGAGCGAATACGACCCTAAGAAAGAAAGAAAGAAAGAAAGAAAGAAAGAGAGAGAGAGAGAGAGAGAGAGAGAGAGAGAGAGAATATTTATCAAAGAAAATGTTTATAATCGCGTTGGTTCTGGCACGCTTTTTCTCCCGGTCGCTTTGACGATCGTTAAAAGAATTTGCACGCTCTCGTCAGCCGCTCATTCGTCCGTAAAAAAAAAAAAAAAAGAAAACGAGACTTAGAACGAGAAAGAAAGAGAGAGAGAGAGAGAATATGAGAGCAAGAAAGGAAGATTGAAGAGGGAGGGAAAAGGAAGGTAGAGGCTACTGGGAACGAGAAACCGCCCTCGTTCTCGTTCGTTTCGTTTTTCCATCGCAAAAATAAAAAAAATATCCTTTCGTGAGTCGACTCGTTGTATGCACGTAGAATTCTTCCCTTTTCCATAGATTCCAGTTTAATATTCTCTCTCTCTCTTTCTCTCCCTCTCTCTCTTTTCTCTATCTTTCTTTCTTTCTCTCTATATATAAGTATGGACGTATGTACGTACTTACATACTTACATATACATATATACGAAACTCCTTTTCTGCAATCGAAGAATTTGGGGCAGGTTGCGGTTCGATGATGCACGCGATGCGGTTGAAACCAAAGGGAAACCTTCTTTTATCCATTGAACCACCACTATCACCATCCTATCCTTTTCGAGGACCTCGTTCTTTCGGTGTACACGTCGAAAGGAGCAAAAAGGTTAATCTTCTTTTCTCG